AGTCTAGTGGTGGCTGTTGCCTTCTGACACATTTCCGGTGATGTCAGGGGGTGTGGCATATGCAAATGAGTAATGCTAATGAGTTATGCTAATGAGCTCCTGCACCTCTTTTTCCACGAAATGACCCCTGGCTTTGCTTAAGGAAAAGTCCCTCTCCCATTACAAGATCCTGGCTAACAGGCAATGCTCCCTCTAAGCTGTGGAGTCTTGTGAGCAAAACTTCTACTTTGTGAGCTACTGGCATGAAAGTTGTGAGCAGGTGATTTGGCTACTGCATCAATTAGTGTGCTTTGGTGCCATCCTTCCTGAGCTAAGACAAAAATGTGTGAGCCGGAGACTAAAAAACTGTGATCTAGCTCACACTAACACAGCTTACAGGGAACACTGTTAACAGGTACTGTCAAAGAGCTTTCTATACTTGGGTTGCCACTGCCAATCAAAAGAGAGAATACTGAGCTAGGTGGACCAATGGGTCTGACTCACATTCAGTGTTCCCTCTAAGCTGAGTTAGGGTGAGCTAGCTCACAGTTTTTTAGCCTCCGGCCCACAGATTTTCGCCTTCGCTCAGGAAGGATGGCTCCAGACCAAACTAATTTACACAGTAGCTCACAAAGCAGAATTTTTGCTCACAAGACTCCACAGCTTAGAGGGAACATTGTGAAGTATATTGCACTGCAAGGGTCCTTAAGCTTTTAGAACATGTGGGAACCTATGGAATTCTGCACAGGATGGTAGACACAACCACAAAACGCCGGTAAGTACACCGATTCCAACCGGCACCTATACCGTTGCAAATGCCCCGTCTGAACGCACCCATTGTGAAGAATATTGCACTGCAAGGGTCCTTAACCTTTTAGAACATGAAAGAACCTATGGAATTCTGCACAGGGTGGTAGACACAACCACAAAATGGCCACTGTGGGAGGTGGGTGCCACAGAGAGAGAGAGAGAGAGAGAGAGAGAAGAATAATGGCTTTAAGCAAATGCTCACCAACAACAGTTCAAAACAACTGTTTAGGGCCTGATAAAGTATCACGGCAGATCAGCAGTTTAGCTTTCATCACCCCAGAGGCATGAGCAGAGAAACACTGGAGTCGAAGCAAAACAAAATTGGTCAAAGGATATCTTCAGAGGAGTGCACAGAAAATGACCAGGTTGGGTAGCTCTTAGTTTAAAAGTAAATACACAGACTTACACGTCGCTTTGCGTTGTATAGATATGATCGAAAAGAGATTCTATTGCCATCCATTTGACGGGTATCCGGCCCTGGAGGAAGAAGCAAGAAGATTACTGCTTGCGAGAGAGCTTTGGCATGGCTTCTTGCGTCACCCTTGGCATGGACGTTTCGCTTACGCCACATTTATCTTGTACCTATTGCCACCCTCTCTCCCATGATGCTTCTCAGAAAGTAAGTGCCTTTCCCTTCAGATGGATATCAGGAATACCTATGTTGAGAAAATTAAGCCTGACTAGCGGCGGTGGCTCAAGTGGTTAAGACGCTGAACTGCAGGCTGTGGAAGGTCGGTAGTTCGGCAGTTCAAGACCCGAGTGCCGCATGTCGGAGTGAGCTCCCGTCTCTGGCCCCAGCTCCTGCCAACCTAGCAGTTTGAAAGCAAGAAACTGCAAGTAGATAAATAGATACCACCTTGGTGGGAAGGTAACAGTGTTCTGTGCACCTCAGCGTCTAGTCATGCTGGCCACATGACCACGGAAACATCTTTGGACAGCGCTAGCTCATTGGCTTGGAAACGGAGATGAGCACTGCAACCCTAGAGTCGGATTCGACTGGCTTTCGAGCAAGGGAAACCTTTACCTTTACCTAGCTCAATCTTGTTAGAGCCTGGGAGCTAAGCAGGGTCGGCCCTGGTTATTACTTGCATGGGAGACCACCAAAGAAGTCCAGGGTCACTATGCAGAAGAAAGTAATGGCAAACCACCTCTGCGTATTCCTTGTCTTGAAAACCACATGGTCTCAGGGTCTCCCTGAGTCGGTGGTGAGTTGACAGCACACAATTGCTATCATTATTGTTTTGAGAAAGGCACCCGTTGTCATTTTCAAATCTTACGTTACCCAGTGCCGAAGGCTGTGACGAGAAAAGCCAAATACCGTGATGAAGTCACCAAACAACATGGCAGAAACCTGTGGGTCCTTTCTTAGTACCAGTGTTGCTTTGCCAATATATGAGCGGTGGGGGAGATGAAGAGTTCATGAAGAAGTAGTAGACATTATATGTGTCAGAGAACAAGGCCTTGGGACCACTGCGTTTGGCATGTGAAAAGGCAGAGTGATGAAACCTCATTTCCTCTTCACTGGGACTGTAAGAACTCTCCCGCATTCTCGTTTTTCTGGCTTGTGTGTTCTTGTTGCTTCCCGGGGGGTGGGGGGAGATGTTCTAGTGTACTCCCTCTAGTGGGTAATTTGATATTACATCGCTTTATGTCTGCCATATCTCCCTGCAGATTTTAAATTACTGGAAACAGCGGAAATGGACACATTAACTCTGCAATCACAAGATAAAAAAAGAAGAAATCTTCGAGAAAACTTGGTCCAGACTATATAAATGGATCGAGGAATACCTTAAAAGATGTACAACGTAACTATTAAGATATAAGCTCTACATGTTAAAAGGTTAAACTGGTCTAGGTGCATAAAGGAATGATTCCATCTATGTAAAATTTAAGCAGTCATAACGAGTACATGCTTCATGTTTGTTGTGTGTTAGTTTCTTTGTATTTGTAGCTGTTGTCTTTTTCTTTCTTCTGTAGAAAACCAATAACATCTATTTTTTTAAAAAAATCTCCCTGCAGATTTAAACTGCAGGTTTTTATGCTGGGTGTAAAGCAATGTAATATTGAATTGACCACTAGAGGGAGCAAAAACTATTGGAACAGACCTCCCCCCCCACCCCGGAAGCAACAAGAATACACAAGTGAGAAAAACGAGAATATGAAAAAGCCCTAAGTTGATTCCTGAGATTTTAAAGAAATGTTTTCTGTATAATCATGAAGGCTAGAAACTTGCGTTCTTTAAAACCAAACTTTCATAAAGGTGCAATCCGTTCCATGACAGTAGACAATACCACTGCATTTGAAATGTGTGGATTTCTCCGTATGTCATTATTTGTGTACAAATTATGCTAAGTGGTTTTGGACTACCAATGTTATTATTGTAAGCCATTTGACCGGGTTTCCTTTTGGATGGGAAAGTGAGGTACGACTTAAACAAAAGGACTGAGCAAGATAAGAAACCTTCTGCAGTCTGCAGTCACATGACAGCACTGCAACAGGAGAAGCAATCCCCCAAAATTATAAAAGCTTCCTCAACTATAGAAAGTTATATATTGGACTGAAAAGAGTAAATATTTATAAAATGTATCTTAAACTTGGTGTGTGATCCTGTTTTGCCAGTATGAATATGTAAAGTAAAAGGTAAAGATTCCCTTGCTCGAAAGCCAGTCGAATCCGACTCTAGGGTTGCGGTGCTCATCTCCGTTTCAAAGCCGAAGAGCCAGCGCTGTCCGAAGACGTTTCCGTGGTCATGTGGCCGGCATGACTAAACACCAAGGTACATGGAACGCTGTTACCTTCCCACTGAAGTGGTACCTATTTATCTACTTGCAATTTCTTGCTTTCGAACTGCTAGGTTGGCAGGAGCTGGAACTAGAGACGGGAGCTCACTCCGTCATGCGGCACACTTGGGTCTCGAACTGCTGAACTACCAACCTTCCACAGCCTGCAGGTCAGCGTATTAACCACTTGAGCCACCGAATATGTACAGCTTTACAATTAAGGAGACATTCTTTATAGGACTGGTTTCCCATTAAAGCCAGTTCCCTGGCAAGGCAAGATAGAAATTGAAAATAATAAATAAATAAATAATAAATTTGGACTGCCTTATCTTGCAAACAAAATGCTGACCGCCATTACAAACGTTTCCAATCAAACAGGAGCACTGCCGGGTAGCTGATGAATTCACTGCGGTGGGCAAAACGTAACTGGTTTAAAGGGAAGGCAGCCGGAGGAACGGATGGACAATGGATGGCAGACACACGGCAAAACTCTGGGTATCAAAGGAGAACAATCCAAGCCATAAAGATGAGTGGTGCTCTGGCAAAATGTGTGTGGGGTGATGGTGGTGGATAATTTTATGCAGCCCTCTAAAGAAACTGGTCTTGCTCATTGGGAAATTCCAATTCAGGGAGCCGAACTACCCGTGATACGCAATCCCATGGAAGAAACCTCTGTGGGCCACCTTCTTTGATGGCAAGCAGCACTGGGAGAGGATGGTTTTCGTGTGTATCCCTGGGCGGCAGTGGGGAGAGCCAGTTTGGTGTCGTGGTTAAGTGTGCGGACTCTAATCTGGGAGAACCGGGTTTGATTCCCCACTCCTCCACTTGCACCTGCTGATGTGACCTTGGGTCAGTCACAAGCTCTGGCACAGCTGTCCTTGAAAAAGAGCAGTTTGTGTCAGAGTTCTCTCAGCCCCACCCACCTCACAGGGTGTCTGTTGTGGGGAGGGGAAGGGAAAGGAGTTTGTAAGCCGCTCTGAGACTCCAAGTGAAGGGCGGGGTATAAATCCAATCTCTTCTTCTTCTTCTTCTTAACCTTTCTCTGCCCAGGGCAGGCGTCAGCATACTCTGAGGTGGGTGGCTGCTGGGGCCCACAGGTTCTGCTGCTGACTCCCTAGTCTTGCCTCTCTACTGATGCCTGCACTGCCCACAGGTTCTGCTGCTGACTCCCTAGTCTTGCCTCTCTACTGATGCCTGCACTGCCCACAGGTTCTGCTGCTGACTCCCTAGTCTTGCCTCTCTACTGATGCCTGCACTGCCCACAGGTTCTGCTGCTGACTCCCTAGTCTTGCCTCTCTACTGATGCCTGCACTGCCCACAGGTTCTGCTGCTGACTCCCTAGTCTTGCCTCTCTACTGATGCCTGCACTGCCCACAGGTTCTGCTGCTGACTCCCTAGTCATGCCTCTCTTCTGATGCCTGCACTCCCACCCATCCCCTGCCTGCTTGCAATGCTTTGTCACCCAGGCTCCCAGCTGTATGTGTTGCAGAGCATTGCCGGAGCAAAGACACATGGCTGATGCGCAAAGCGTGAGTGTTCTGGGTGGCCGTAGCAGTAGTCCTCACGGCCGCACCCAGGGCCATTGGGGAAAGGATGTATAGGCAGTTGTGACTGCAGGTGGTGGGAGATCTGGCAGTGGAAGGCTACACAGGCCAGTGGGGGACATGCATGGGTGGACAGGGGGGGGGCTAGTAGTGGGCATAGGGGGCCCTTAGGAACTCTCCCCCCCCAAACCTGGAACCGGCCCCATCTCTGCCCACTGCTTTTCCACTCCGACCCCCCATAGAGGACTCAGGCAAGCTTATTCCCAGGGGCAACCTGTATTCTTAAGCTTCCAGCGTCTGCAGGGACACTTCAGGGCACATGGTTAAATGGATCCCTAGCTCCTAATCTATTTTCAGTGGCAGCTAGTCGCTTGGGAGGCCCAGTTCTATAGTGAGGAGAAGTCTGTAGGCAGACAGGCCTACTATAAGTAGGGCCGCACTGCAGTTAATTCGAGCACCTCAGGCAGTGTTGTAAAAATAAGTCTGGATCGCTGTTCCTTAGCTCAAAATAGACGCTGCGAAGTGCTGAGGCTGCTGGTCTTCTCTGTCACCTGTCAGACTTTGTCAGCCACAGACAGACAGACATTGGCGATTCCGAGCTCTACCTTGCTCCGCTTGACGTAGGAGTCCTCCTCGTAGACGTCACGCGACAGACCAAAATCAGAAATTTTCATCTTACGCCCCTCTGCCACCAACACGTTTCTGGCTGCCAGATCTCGATGCACAAGCTTCGGAGGAAAAGGAGAAAAGGTATTCACCATCACGCCACCCTTCACCGAAGGGCCAGAAAGGTTGCAGAGGGAAGGACTCCGTACCTTCATGTCAGCCAGATACTGCATCCCACGAGATATCTGCCAGGCGAAAGAGATGAGGTCCCCCATCGTTAAGGCCCGCTCATCCGGATTATCCAAGTAGCTGGAATTCCTGTTGGCGTCACTGCCCACGTAACTGGGCCCAACTTTCCGGCTTTCCCTCAGAAAACTGCGTAAGGAGCCGTATTTGGCATATTCGACTATTAGATAAAGAGGCCCTGGGGTAAATAAAGACAAAAGTCATCATCAGAACATAAGAAAAGCCCTGCTGGATCAGAGCAGTGGTCGGTCTAATCCAGCACCCTGACTCACAACCAGGGCTATTTTTGGGCAGGAACGCACAGGAACGGAGTTCCGGCTGGCTCCCAAGTTGGCCACGCCCAGCAGGAACTCATTAGCATAATAGGCCACACCCAACAGCACAAACGCATTAGGATTGGCTACAATTAGGGGTGTGTGGCCTAACATGCAAAGGAGTTCCTGCTACAAAAAAAGCCCTGGGTTTTGACAACAAACAAAGTAAACAGAATAAGAAGGGAAAGGTGGGTGTGGCTGGATAACCACACTTCTGGTAACATGGGGGTGTGGCCTAATATGCCAATGAGTTGTGCTGTCAGGGGTGTGGCCTAATATGTTAATAAGTTTCTGCTGTTGGGTGTGGCCTATTATGCTAATGAGTTCCTGCTGGGCTTTTTCCACACAAAAAGCCCTGCTTGCAACAGTGCCCAAAGATTTCCTCTGAGGGCATAGAGGCCAAGGCCTTCCCCTGATGTTACCTCCTGGCCCTGGGATTCATTGGTTGACTGCCTTGGAACATGGAAGTTCCCTTTAGTTATCATAGCTAATAGCCACTGATAGATGTGTCCTCCGTGAATCTATCTAATCCCCCCTAAGGCTGTCCACGCCTGTGGCCATCACGACATCGCCTGGCAGCAAATCCTACATTTTCATCAATTGTCGATTAAAGAAGTATTCCTTGTTAAGAATCAGATTAAATAATCATACATTTACCACTAAAGATATGTCTGCTTAAAAACAAACGAAAATTATTTCCCATGGAAAGCTTAGTTGTATGATCTGCATAAATTATACAGATCAAGGAAATCTGAATATACTGTTTCGTGTGCAACCCTTTCTCTTAGAAAAAGGGTGGAGAAAGGAGCTTATATAATATTAAAGTTCCAACACTTGACTTTTTTCTGTTTTGTCTTATTCTGCTGTTAAAGATTTCAGCAGACCTGGCATAGATGTTTTCAACTCTTTCTTCACAGCCTGAAAGCATAGACATTTGATTTTTTAAAAAAGAAGAAGAAGAAGAGGAGGAGGAGATTGGATTTATACCCCGCCCTTCACTTGGAGTCTCAGAGCGGCTTACAAACTCCTTTCCCTTCCCCCTCCCCACAACAGACACCCTGTGAGGTAGGTGGAAGGGGAGAGCTTTCAAGGACAGCTCTTGTCAGAACTACGGCTTGCCCGAGGTCATCCAGCAGGTGCAAGTGGAGGAGAGGGGAATCAAACCCGGTTCTCCCAGAATAGAGTCCGTGCACTTAACCACTACACCAGACTTAACCACTACACCAAACTGTCTCTGCACCAAAGTAGAGATATATACCACGTTGAATTCTGTGCTCAGTATCTCATTTGAAAGATTTCTGCAAGTGCACAGAATAGACGCTGCCCTGCTTATAGGATTGCCAACATCCAGGTGGCACCTGGAGATCTCCCGCTATTACAGCTGTTCTCCAGCTGACCAAGACCAGCTCCCCTGGAGAAAATGGCTGCTTCGAAGGGTGGACTCTGTGGCATGGTACCCTGCTGAGGCCCCTCCCCTCCCCAAACCCCGCCCTCTCCTGGCTCCACCCCCAAAGCCTCCAGGTCTTTTCCAGCCCAGACCTGGCAACCCTACCCACTTACCTTGTCCGTCAAAGCTTAGGTTTTGAACTAATACCAGAGAAACCACATTTTGTCACCCTGTTTTTATTTTTATAGCCCTCGACTTTGTTTCCTGCATGGGGGACAGCCTAAAGGGGAATTATTTAAATGTTTCTCAAAGAACAGGATTCAGAGACGCAGGGTGGGGATTTGCTTGCTGAAAAGTTATGCGGGCTGGATGGTGACCTCACAGAAACTCACGCACATGAAAAGAGAGGAAACCGTGCTTATTTCTGGAAACAGGCCTTGGGGTGACACCCTGATTAACAGAGCCACGCAGCATTACTTCCAGAGTCAACATGAAAAAATCGGTGACATTTTAAACATTTTTAATAGAACATTTAAGGCAGATCTTCACGCAAATTGGTTTGTGCAAACTCTTCCCCCCCCAACCTAAAGAGGCTCAGTTTAAAATGAGTGCATTAGGATTCGACAGCCCGTGGTAATTTCTTACAGTATCTTTATACTTCCTGCACACTAATTAGGTATGGCTTTTGAAAGCTTTCAAGTGTACGCTTTCACAAAAGGGGTCTTGACATTTTGGTCCATTAGCAAAGCGCTTCCTCCCAGCCACCCGCATGAATCATCTCGGCAGCGTTACAATGTGGAATTCACAAAGCTCTCACCCCTTAATATATACCAGGGCGGATCCTACTGGATCACAAACAGAAGAAGATCACGGAATGCATCTCTTCCCCTACCCCCTATAGCTTTGTACACCTCTTGAAATTTGCCTTCAGGAGCAGAGTGGGAAGGGGACATCAGCAAAAACTGCCCTGTAATCAGGGCTATTTTTGGGCAGGAACGCACAGGAACAGAGTTCCGGCTGGCTCCCGTGTTGGCCACGCCCAGCAGGAACTCATTAGCATAATAGGCCACACCCAACAGCAGACACTCATTAGGATTGGCTACATTAGGGGTGTGTGGCCTAACATGCAAAGGAGTTCCTGCTACAAAAAAAGCCCTGGGTTTGGACAACAAACAAGGTAAACAGAATAAGAAGCAAAAGGTGGGTGTGGCTGGATGACCACACTTCTGGTAACATGGGAATGCAGCCTAATATGCTAATGAGTGGTGCAATCAGGGGTGTGACCTAATATGCTAATGAGTTTCTGCTATTGGGTGTGGCCTATTATGCTAATGAGTCCCTGCTGGGCCTTTTCTACAAAAAAGCCCTGCCTGTAATGTTCTTTGCTGTGTTGGTGGGATCATTCTCGATGGCGGCTCCTACCCAGTGGAATGAGGAGATCCGGGCCCAGCGAGACCTCGTGCAGTTCCGCAGGGCCTGTAAGACGGAGCTCTTCCACCAGGCTGTTGAGTAGGAGCCGCCACTACCGCACCACCATTACTGCATCATCATTACCGCACCATTGTTGCCGCGCCACCAGCAACTGGGTTAGGTAACATCGGAGTGTATGATGGCCCTGTGACAAGTTATTTATAATACCACGTGGAACCCATACCACTGAATTGAGACTAACATTCCCAGGAGGCCACGGAACGGGGACTACCATCCCCAGGATACCATCTTGTGATTGAAGATCTTTTTGTAACATATAGAGCACTTTATGTTGTTGTAACTGTTGGTTTTATCTTGTTTTTGCTGTTTTAACTATTGGCATATGTTGCCCAATTGTGAGCCTCCCTGAGCCCGCTTGCTGGGAGGGCGGGCTATAAATTGGAGTTAATAATAATAATAATAATAATAATAATAATAATAATAATAATAATAATAATTCATCTAAGAGTGGGAGGAGGTGATTTCTTCCAGTTCCCCCTTCTTGCTGTTGTTGTTGTTCAGTCCCACAGTCGAGTCCGACTCTTCGCGACCCCATGGACCAGATCATGGCAGGCCTTCCGGTCTTCCGCCGTCCTCTGAAGTTTGCTCAACTTCATGTTCATTGCATCTATGACACTGTTTAACAATCTCATCCTTTGCCGTCCCCGTCTTCTTTGGCCTTCAATCTTTTCCAGCATCAGGGTCTTCTTCTCCAGTGAGTGCTCCCTTCTCATTGGGTGGCCAAAGTCTTTGAGCTTCGGTTTCATTATCTGGCCTTCCAGGGAACAGTCAGGGTTGATTTCTTTTAGGATGGACTGATTTGATCTCCTTGCAGTCCGAGGGACTTGCTGTAGCCCTGGTCCAATGAGTCCTCTTTCTGCCGCATCCTATGCAACTCAAAAGTGGAGCACCTTCCCCATGGGGAAAGGCTGAAGAATCGGGGACTTTTCAGTTTAGAAAAAAGATGACTAAGGGAGGACATGACAGAGGTTTATAAAATTATGCATGGAGCGGAGAGAGTTGACAAAGGGAAATTTTTCTCCCTCTCCAAAAAATACTAGAAATAGAAGGCATCCAACAAAGCTGATGGGCAGCAGGTTCAAGACAGACAAAAGGAAATACTGCTTTACACAGAGGCTGTAGTCACACACACCAAAACAATCCACTTCCAATCCACTTTCCAACTGGATTTCGCCAGTTCACACAGTGAAAATCCAGTCTGAAAGTGGATTATTTTGTGCGTGACCGCAGCCGGAGAGTAATTAAAATGTGGAATTCATCGCCGGAGGATGTGGTTACCAGTGTTCCCTCGAAGCTGAGTCAGTGTGAGCTAACTCATAGTTTTTTTAGCCTCCGGCTCACACATTTTTGTCTTAGCTCAGGAAGGATGGCTCCAGAGCAAACTAATTTATGCAGGAGCCAAATAGTTCGCTCACAACTTTAATGCCAGGAGCTCACAGGACTCCACAGCTTAGAGGGAGCATTGGTTATGACCACAGGAATAAACAGCTTTGAAAGGGGGTTAGATTCATGGAGGATGTCTATCAATGGTGATTAGCCATGGTGACTGAGGGGAACCTCCACATTCAGAGGCACTAATCCTCTGCATCCCAGAGCCAGGAAGCAACATCAGGGGAAGGTCTCAGCTTCTCTGCCCTGTTGTTGGCCCTCCAGAGGCATTGGTTGGCCACTGTGTGAGACGGGATGCTGGACTAGATGGACCATTTGGTCTGATCCAGCAGGATTCTTCTGGTGTTCTTTAGTGCCTCCGAACCCTTAGGAGCTCGGGCAGGGGGCTGCACGGAAAGTAGGGGAGAGACTCATTCCATGAACAACTCTTGTTTATGACCCCTAGGACATCATCAGCTGAACAGAAATGGCTCAGCCTGGGATTTCACCCCTCTCCTGCCTCAGTCTTATTGAGGATGCTGACCAGGGCACTTTTTGTAGAAAAAGCCCAGCAGGAACTCATTAGCATAATAGGCCACACCCAACAGCAGGAACTCATTAGCATATTGGGCCACACCCCTGACAGCACAGCTCATTAGCACATTAGGCCGCACCCCCATGTTACCAGAAGTGTGGTCATCCAGCCACACCCACCTTTTGCTTGTTATTCTGTTTACCGTGTTTGTTGTCAAAACCCAGGCCTTTTTTGTAGCAGGAACTCCTTTGCATGTTAGACCACACTCCCCTAATGTAGCCAATCCTAATGAGTTTCTGCTGTTGGGTGTGGCCTATTATGCTAATGAGTTCCCGCGGGGCGGGGTCAGCTTGGGAGCCAGCCGGAACTCCGTTCCTGTGCGTTCCTGCCCAAAAATAGCCCTGATGCTGACACAGATCCCATATTTAACCTAGACCCATAGAAAACTTTTATTAGATTGAGATTCTTTGGTGGGCCAAGAGAACAAATACAACAAAATTCCACGCCGAATTAACTCGAATTCTATATTTACAAAAATGGATTCCCCCCCCAGCCCACGTGATATTATGTAAAGTGATCACATCTGTACGTATTTGATCATGTTTGCTTTTTCTTTTTGCTTTTGTTAGTCCCGTGAAGGCTAATAAACTATGCAGGGTGCCAGTTCTACTGAGCCGTACTCTTTGATTTCTGAGACCACAGTGTGTGCTCTGCCAATACCTTACATGCTTTCAAGCCTATATCTGCAGCCGTCAGGGTGAGAACTTTTTTTCCCCCTTCCCAAAAAGAGAGAGATAGAGAGATGAGATTACCAGATAGCTGATTTATCAGTCCACTAGCCAGGGCTTTTTTTGTAGAAAAAGCCCAGCAGGAACTCATTAGCATGATAGGCCACACCCAACCGCAGAAACTCATTAGCCTATTAGGCCACACCCCTGACAGCACAGCTCATTAGCACATTAGGCCGCACCCCCATGTTACCAGAAGTGTGGTCATCCAGCCACACACCCCTTTTGCTTCTTATTCTGTTTACCTTGTTTGTAGTCAAAACCCAGGGCTTTTTGCATGTTAGGCCACACACCCCTAATTGTAGCCAATCCTAATGAGTTTCTGCTGTTGGGTGTGGCCTGTTATGCTAATGAGTTCCTGCGGGGCGTGGCCAACTCGGGAGCCAGCCGGGACTCCGTTCCTGTGCGTTCCTGCCCAAAAATAGCCCTGCCACTAGCAAATTTTGCATTTGTATTTAGAATTGTGGCTCTGAGGTAAGGTTGCCAGCTCTGGGTTGGACAATTCCTGGAGATTTGGGGAGTGGAACCTGGGGAGGCCAGGAGCTCAGCAGGATATAATGAAATAGAGTCCACCCTCCAAAGCAGCCATCCCCCCCCCCCCCAGGAAAGCACCCCCCCCCCCCCCCCCAGGAAAGCCAATATCTGTTGTCTGGAGAGCAGCTAATTCCTAGAGATCACCAGGCCCTACCTGGAGGTTAGATAAACACAGAAAACACCGTGTTGAAATAATAAACACAATATTCACATGTACTTATAGCTAAATACATTTGCTTTTTATACACAACATCAACTCTAGTGTATTGTAAACACTTTCAAACGACAACATCGCATCTCAAACACTTCCAAACTAAGTTATACAACATGAAGAGTCCAACTGTCTTCTTCCTGATGGAGGATAAACACCAATGTACAGTTATTTGTAGTACCGAACAATGCAGCAACCTATTGTACATTTCCCAAGTGATGATCCATCAGGGAAAGCTAGCAGGCAGCTTGTATTTCTCACGGTGATGATTCAGCTTAGCAAGCAAGCCTAAGTAGATGTATTTTCCCATGAGGTGATTCAGCTAGCAAGCAGGCCTAGCTAACATGAGCTGTCGGATTACCATCTAATCTGTTATAATGAGCATACACCTGTAATAATTCCTTTATCATATTGCAATACATGGGTACATCCATAACAACCACTCCACCACCCTTGTCGGCAGGCTTGATCACGATTGTTTCATCATTCCTAAATTGCTTAAGAGCCTTGTACTCTATGTATGATATGTATGATAGGACGAAACTACGGATTGACAGCATAATTTCTATACATAATACAGCAGAATTTCTATAAGCGAGCCTAATTTTTCCTCAAGATAATTCCTCAAGATTATCCTGCACTGGCAGAGACTGATCAAGAGAGAGATCTTGGAGTTGTAGTGGATAACTCACTGAAAATGTCGAGACAGTGTGTGACTGCAATAAAGAAGGCCAATGCTATGCTGGGGATTATTAGGAAGGGTATTGTAAACAGATCAGCCAATATCATAATGCCGCTATATAAATCAATGGTGCGACCTCATTTGGAATACTGTGTGCAGTTCTGGTCACCACACCTTAAAAAGGATATTATAGCTTTGGAAAAAGTGCAGAAAAGGGCAACTCGAATGATAAAAGGGTTGGAACACTTTCCCTATGAGGAAAGGTTAAAGCGCTTAGGGCTCTTTAGCTTGGAGAAAAGACGACTGAGGGGTGACATGATCGAGGTTTATAAGATTATGCATGGGAAAGAGCAGGTAGAGAAAGAGGTACTTTTCTCCCTTTCTCACAATACAAGAACTTGTGGGCACTCCATGAAACTGCAGAGCGGTCAGGTTAGAACGCATAAAAGGAAGTACTTCTTCACCCAAAGAGTGATTAACACATGGAATTCCCTGCCACAGGAAGTGGTGGCGGCTACAAGCATGGACGGCTTCAAAAGGGAATTAGATAAGCATATGGAGCAGAGGTCCATCAGTGGCTATTAGCCACAAGGTATAGCTAGGGGCTCTGGGGCAAGTGATGCTCTGTCTTCTTGGTGCTTGGGGGGGTCAACAGTGGGAGGGCTTCTAATGTCCTGGCCCCACTGCTGGACCTCCTGATGGCACTGGTATTTCTGGCCACTGTGTGACACAGAGTGTTGGACTGGATGGGCCTTTGGCCTGATCCAACATTGGCGTCTCTTATGTTCTTATGTTCTTATCCTGCACTGGCATTAAAGTTGTGAGCAAGCAATTTGGCTGCTGCATAAATTAGTTTGCTCTGGGGCCACCCTTTCTGAGCTAAGACAAAAATGCGTGAGCCGGAGGCTAAAAAAACGTGAGCTGGCTCACACTAACTCAGTTTAGACGGAACACTGCACCTAACCATTACGTCTACCCCCGCCCCCCCAGGAATGCAGTATCTCACTGTCTATAAAGAAATTAGGCTCCAAACAGTCTCCAGGCATTCCCCCATAGGGAAGGGGAGGTGTCATCCTTAGGGAAATTATACCGCTAAGAGCAAACAGTTCACACATACATCTATCACTCCCCTTCCGGTAGGAATTCCCCTTCCCCCTTTTGTTATGGCAACCAGAGCTGGGTGCGAGGTTTGACAGTACTCTGATTGGCCACTGGAGAGCTAATTGGCTGCAAAGTTTAAAATAATGTTGTTTTCCTGGCAGCTGCCATTGCAGTGTTGGTTTTATTCTCCCTCATTCCTATTTCTTAATGTATTTTTAAAATTACCCCTATTCTCCTCTGCATTTGAGCTTCCTTTCTGTATGTGCTCTGCCCCTGCAACAGCCATTTTATGGTTGATTCCACCTCCTGCAGCAGCCATTTTGCGGCTAGCCCCACCTCCTATGGCAGCCATTTTGCAGCTGGCCCCACCTCCTGAGACAGTTATTTTGTGGCTGGCTCCACCTCCTAAGGCAGCCATTTTACGGCTGGCCCCACCTTCTGAGGCAGCCATTTTGTGGCTGCCTCCACCTCCTGTGGCAGCCATTTTATGTTTGCACCCATCACCCAGTGTCAGAAACCAAAACATGCCCTCCTCTGTTGGTGGATCCTTTGATGGCCTAGTCCAGTGATGGCGAACCTTTTAGAGACCGAGTGCCCAAACTGTGACCCAAAACCCACTTATTTATCGCCAAGTGCCAACACGGCAATTTAACCTGAATACTGAAATTTTACTTTAGAAAAAACAACCCATAAATTAACTTAAGATGACCCAAACAAAGTAAGGAAAGCAATCCCAAATGCTTTCGTTTACGTAAAATTATTTGGCAGAGAATTCAACACTTTTATGATGGTCTGGGCCTGGTTGGGGCGATGGCACGCGTGCCCACAGAGAGGGCTCTGAGTGCCACCTCTGGCAGCCGTGCCATAGGTTCGCCACCACTGGCCTAGTCTCTTTCTTTATCATGGCATGCTAGCACTACTCCTGCAGCACACAGATTTTACTGAATTACTGAACCGCCTTTTTGCTCCCACCACCAGCTACACAAGACCCTAGCACTTACCGTCCTGGCTGCAAGCTCCGTACAGTTTGATGACATGTGGATGGTTGACCTGTTTCAAAAGATTGAACTCCGAAAGCAGGTCTCTCAGCTCGCTTTGGGAAGCGTTTTCTGCAGGAGAGGGCAAGAAAGGAGATGCAGTTAGTTAAATTCCCCTCAGGGTCACCAGATACCTCCTGGCAACCAGAGGGGGGTGGTGGGGGGGGACATACTGAAAGGAAAAATAGGCCTAGGCTTGCATTGCTGACGATGCAGTGATGTCACTTCCAACATGTACCGTGTCAGTACGTTGCCGGTGGTGCAGGGATGCTCTGGTATTTGGGCAAAAACTATGGTAGGGGTCATTTTTTACCATAGAGTTTTTGCCCAAATACCAGAGCATCCCTGTGTCATTGGCAACGTGATGACATAACTTCTGGTGTGCACTGGGAACACAGGCTTAGGCCTAGTTTTCCTGCTGGTATGTCCCCTGCCAACCAGCTGATTGGTGTGAGGGGAGGGGCCCAAGGACCAGTGGGGGCCTGGCACCCCCAGTTTCTTCCACAAGGCTCACAAGGAAGCTGAAGGCAAAGAGGAAGACCCAATTTGAGATGGATTGACTCCCTAAAGGCAGCCACAGCCTTCAGTTTGCAAGACCTGAGCGAGGCTGTTAAAGATAGGATCAGGGGCCATTTCCTGCAGGAGCACACAGGAGCGGAGCTCCGGCAGTAAAAAGCCCAAGGGGGCAGCCCGATGCAACAAGCCCCACCCCCTGCTCCCAGCAGCCCTCTGTTAGAGCAAGAAGCAGCCAGGTAAGTCGCAGAGCTCCCACCGCCCCCCCGGTACAAAACAGTCTAGTGGCACCTTTAAGGCCAAGTTTGATTCAGGTACAAGCTCTCCCTCCTCTGGGAGGACAGATCTGCACGTTCTCCCCCCCCCCCAATAGCTAGCAATCCAACACAGTCCAGTGGAGCCTGAGCAGTGGGTGTTGCCTTCTGACACACATCCGGTGATGTCAAGGGGTGTGGCACATGCAAATGAGTTATGCTAATGAGCTCCTGCACCTCTTTTTCTACGACATGACCCCTGGATAGGATGTTTCGGTGGCAATGGGATGGGCTGTTAAGGTGCCGCCCACTTATGGCTACTCCGTAGGGTCTCCAGGGCAAGAGACAAACCGGCCTGCCTCTGAGTAGCATCCCTGGATTTCTTTGGTGGTCTCCCATCCCAGTACTAACCAGGGCCAAACCCTGTTTAGTTTCTGAGATCTGACGAGACTGGGTTAGCCTAGGCCATCCAGGCTGGGGCTAGGATGTTTTCGTGGTCATCATCTCACAGGGTTGCCTTAAGTCAGAAGCCACTTGAGGGCACATGACACACACCGTATTACAGTTAGGGATGTGAATTTGCCTTGGCCGGTCCGATCCGGAACCCGGATAATGCCTCTACAGCATTCTGCGGGACGGCCAATTCACCAAACCAGATTCTTTGATCTGATTTGGCTGGCCAATGTGGGCATACCCACATATTTGGGGGGGGGGGATACCAAAGAGGGAGAGAGAGTAAAAGGATCTCGGGCACTTCTGCCTGACAGAGGGGCCAAGGGGCCGGCCCCTCTGACAGGCAGAAGCACCTGGGATCCATTCTTCCCTCTCTCCCTTTGCCTAGCCTCCAAGCGGAGTGAACGGAAGGGGGGGGGGAGAAGGGAACCCAGGAGAAACTTCTGCCTGATCTGGAAGAAGCGTGCCGCCTCTGCGGAGTGACTCCAAAGACTGAGGGGGTTTAAAGTTTAATTCCCCCCACTCTGGAGTCGCACCACAGTGGCGCAATTTGCCTTCCCTTGAATGATGGGAGCTTGAGGCCCCCGCCCGCAACTGGGGGGATCATTATACCCTATGGGGACAGTCCCTATAGGGTATAATTGAGCTGAATTAATTCAGCTATACCGATAATTTCCCAAATCCCGATATCATACCGATACTGGGATTCGGGAATATCAGCATATGCCGATATTTTTCGGGTTTGGGATATCCGAACCGAAAAATACCACCCCTAATTACAATATCCTCAGACAAGTACTCAGTTATTACTTGGCTGTCTTTAGTGCTTACTTGCTTCAAATTAGCATGCTGTTCAGTTTTGAGAGGCGGGGGGAAATCCCAAGGCTAGTTTTTCATCTGATGATTACCAATATAACGTGACAGTATGGTCCATTTTTTCCCATTGGAACACAGGTGGTTCAGCTATTGCAGGTATTTATTTACATCCTTTTAATATTTATATCCTGCTGTTCTTTTCTGAAAGCAAACCCCCAAGGGGGCACTTCTGTTCCACGGAGTCCGCTGCAGTCTGCCTGCTGAAATCCTCACGTCTACCAAAAAGAAACAGAAGCCCTGTCCCTTTTTGCTAACCTAAGGACAACTACTTGTCCTAACTTGGTAATGTGTTATCCAGTCAGCCAGAAACGCTTGACATTGTGAGGTCAGCAATGAAGTCGACAGTCTCTGACAGCCTGTTGAGGTCCTAGGGATAAGAGAGTCCCCATGAGGGTATCCGGGGGATCCCTGAGGGGTCCTAACTCACTCAGGGGTGGGGGACCATTTCTTTGCCACAGAGCTGAAGCAAGAGACCAGTGAAGAAATGAAAGACAAATTCTGGAAGAAAGAACCAAATCCATCCAATGCTGTCTTGTTGAACTGGTTAGTAAAGCAACAATGCATATTTCTAAGAGTGTTGAAGGCAGATATTCTTAAGGAAATGGCATCCTCCTAGCAATATGGATAGAGGGACTGAAGATGGATTCCTTGAATTTCAGATAAGGGTTCACAGGAGCCAGATGGCCCGGTCTCATCATGGAGAGAAAATTAAGCAAGCGTGTTTCACTCCATACTTGGCAGCTTCGTTTTCTAGAAACATACTTGGGTGTATATTTTCAAGATCTGTATTTATTAAGTGGCCTCAGAACTGACTGGAGAGGGACCATAGCCCAGCAACAGAGCATTTACTTGGCATGCTGAAGGTCCCTGGTTCAATCCCTGGCATCTCCAGTCAAAAGGACCAGGCAGTAGTTGACCTGTGCCCGAGACACGGGAGAGCTGCTGCCAGTTTGACTAGACAATATTGACCTTGATGGACCAATGGTCTGAATCAGTAGAAGGCAACTAGTAAAAAGGTAAAGGTTCCCTTGCTCGAAAGCCAGTCGAGTCCGACTCTAGGGTTGCGGTGCTCATCTCCATTTCAAAGCCGAAGAGCCAGCGCTGTCCAAAGACATTTCCATGGTCATGTGGCCGGCATGACTAATCACCAAGGCGCACGGAACGCTGTGACCTTCCCACCGAAGTGGTACCTATTTATCTACTTGCAATTTCTTGCTTTTGAACTGCTAGGTTGGCAGGAACTGGAACGAGAGACGGGAGCTCACTCCGTCATGCGGTGCACTCGGGTCTCGAACTGCTGAACTACTGACCTTCCACAGCCTGCAGTTCAGCATCTTAACCACTTGAGCCACCGCAGCTCCAGAAGGCAACTACATAGGTCCAAAAATGCATTTTTTTTATTTTGTGAGAGGATAGAATAGAGGGATGTCAACTAGGGAAGGCAGTTAAACAGGGCAAAAAACCCCACACACAGTGACAATGTGTACCGGAACCCATTTTTCCCATTTTTGGAAACTGATCCTAATTGATTAGCTTCCAATACTTGGCCTCACTAGATTCCATCCAGCATGCCCTGGTGGCAGTTGGTTGCCATAACAACCCCTGAAGTTTCAGTCCCATCATTCTACTACAGAGGAAGGTACGAGGACTGCATGGTGGATTGAGGTCCGAGTATTGCTACCTGTCTTTCAAACTAGGTGAGTTATTTGATGGCTTGGAACATTTCGCCTGGAAGGGACAATGGGGCTGATGGACGGGGTTGAGAACAAAATTAAGGAACTCCAACGGTAACTCTGAAGTGACCTAACTGAAAGCACTCTTTGATTATGATCATCGCTATTTAATTATTATCGTTATTGATTATTGTTCCCCCTCAAAGATATATCGCCCTGAGAGAGATTATTTATTCAGATATCTGCTCACACAAGAAAAATACTGTTATGTCTTCAAAGAAACCCCACAGACCAATCTTGAGGAGTGGCCAGATGCGGCCACTTTAAGTTATTACTTGCCCCGCACACAGCATCATGGCAAGCTGTTGCGCATGACTGACCACAGTATAATTTGGATTATTATGCAAACTAATCTCTGAAGAGGAGCTGCGGTGGCTCAAGTGGTTAAGACGCTGAACTGCAGGCTGTGGAAGGTCGGTAGTTCAGCCGTTCGAGATCCGAGTGTGCCGCATGACGGAGTGAGCTCCCGTCTCTGGCCCCAGCTCCTGCCAACCTAGCAGTTCGAAAGCAAGAAATTGCAAGTAGATCAATAGGTACCACTTGGGTGGGAAGGTAACAGCGTTCCGTGCACCTTGGTGTTTAGTCAGCCGGCCACATGACCACGGAAACGTCTTCGGACAGTGCTGGCTCTTCGGCTTTGAAACGGAGATGAGCACCGCAACCCTAGAGTCGGATTCGACTGGCTTTCGAGCAAGGGAGACCTTTACCTTTATTTACCTAATCTCTGAAGAGTGTTTATAGTTTAGAGGATTCCGCCTAGTACAGACGGCTTGGCTAGGCGGCCTTCGGCTTCTTTCTAGCCCTACAGATTTATAACTGGAAATCATTTCCTCATCTTTGCTGTGCCTTCCAGAAACTTGTATCTGCAGCCCATACAATAAGCTCGTGCTAGTCTCGTTGGCCACTTATTGTCTCGTCTGTCTTACGTCACTACTTTCGGTCAAGTGTGTGATGCTTCAGGGAAGCAAGCATCTCCTGTTTGTTTTTTAAGAGAAGGAACAACCAGCGGAGGTCAATGGAATACTAGTAAAATGGCTGCAAATTTTCACAGGATGGGGGCCTTAGGGGTGGGGACTTCTGTCCTTCTCGCCTGTTTCATTCCTCCTTCTTCCCTTTCCCCAGTTCCCTTGCTTTCATTCCCCCTTCTACCCTCCAAACACCTTTCTGCGTCTCCCTGCCCTCACTTTTCTTTTAGCATACCGGAGCACAGCCCCGTTGCAACCAGGAGGAGGGCTCTGGTGCCACACGGCGCGATATTGTCTCCTTTTCCTCAGCCAAGAGATCTTTGGTGCAGTGGTTAAGTGCACAGACTCTAATCTGGGAGAACCGGGTTTGATTCCCCACTCCTCCACTTGCAACTGCTGGATGACCTTGGGCAAGCCATAGTTCTGTCAGAGCTGTTCTCTCAAGGACAATTCTGGAAAGAGCTCCCTCAGCTCCATCTACCTCACAGGGTGTCTGTTGTGGGGAAGGGAAAGGAGTTTGTAAGGTGCTCTGAGACTCCGAGTGCAGGGCGAGATATAAATCCAATCTCTCCTCCTCTTCTTCTTTGACCCAAGAGCACCTGGGAAGAGCCATGGGAAAGGGATTCATGTGTGGGTAAGGTATGCCCCGTCTCCCTTCCAAGTCAGTCCTCTGCTTTTGCCACAGAATGGTGACAAGCCAAAAATGCTAGAGGCTGGTGGAAGCTGGAGATCTGGCTCTGGTATATAAGTAAGTAGTGGTTTATTGCGGTCAAAGACCATAATAACAGCAAATACAGTTAATATAGCAGCAATCAGAACAATAGTAAAGTAATTTCTTTTATATAAAAATATGAGAAATTTCAGACAGGCGATATATTCCGGAAGAGGAACGGTACCCAAACGGTTTCTGGTCTGTCATTTCAGAAAGAACCGTTTGAGAACCGGTTCCCTTCCGGAATATATTTGTCATTTCATACACAATCGCTTCTGTCCCGTTTAGGAAACGGGACTGAAGCGTTTTACCTGTCAACCCCTTCCAAGTACTCCTCAGTTTCCTCTCCCGGTTCCGATGCGCTTTTCCCCACTGTTTTTCGCCCGCGTGGGCGATCTCTTTTGGAACGTTTGCTTTATAGCGTTATAGCGCTATAACGCTATAACGGAATAGCATTATATCAATCCCATTGGAATGCATGGAGTGTTTTGTTATACTGCTATAGCGCTATAGCGCTCTAAAGCAAACGTTTAAAAAAAAGCCAAAAATCGCCCACACGGGCGAAAAACGGGAAAAAGCGGTGCAGTCTGAAATGGCAAACCGCTTCAGATCCAGCTCTTTACCGGAAGGGGAAATCCATGTGTGAAATGGCAGCCCTATACCGGTTCACTTCAAAACAGATCATTACCGGCTTGAAACTGGGTGAAACTGGGTAATGTGAAATTCCCCAGTATGTTAAAAATGTTAAAACATTAAAAATATTTACAAATTCCATTACCAATCAGATAAAATCAATTTAACCACTTAGTTACGATCCTTCCACTCTCTCCTAATGCAGTTGGCTAATCAACCAAATTCAGCCACCATATGAGTTATATTCCGATTTTTATCTGCCAACATAATTGAGAGGAAGAGTCCCTTGCTCACTGTGCCCTAGATGTGATTTAATAATGGGATTTATAAATACCTCTCTATTGTGCTGGTATAATCTACAATCAAAAAACACATGTTCCAAAGTTTCTTCTCCCTTTCTACAAACACATTCCCTTCACGTGGTTTTATTATATCTGGCTTCTAAAATGGCAGAGGGGCAAAGCATTATATCTTAGGACTGTAAAAAATCTTCTGTGTTTGGCGTTCTCTAGTGTTTTAACCTATGCTCCCAGACTTAACTTACTACAAGTAGCTAGATCAAGTAAAGGATTCTTAATTTTACTCATTTGGATCTGCAGTTCCATATCCAAGACTCTGCTTTATAACCAGGGGTCATTTCCTAGAAAAAGAGGTGCAGGAGCTCATTAGCACAATTCATTAGCATAACTTATTTGCATATGCCACACCCCCTGACATCACTGGAAGTGTGTCAGAAGGCAACACCCACTGCTCAGGCTCCACTGGACTGTTTTAGATTGCTAGCTATTGGGGGGGGGGAACGTGCAGATCTGTCCTCGCAGAGGAGGGAGAGCTTGTACCTGAATAAAACTTGGTCTTAAAGGTGCTACTGGACTGTCTTGGACTGGGAGTCTGGGGGGGGGGGCTCTGCAACTTACCTGGCTGTTTCTTGCTCTGATTGAGGGCTACTGGGAGCAGGGGGTGGGACTTGTTGCATGTGCCCGCCCCTTGGGCTCTTTACTGCCAGAGCTCCGTTCCTGTGCGCTCCTGCAGGAAATGACCCCTGTTTATAACTGATTTGGCCTGTAGATATCCCAAGGAGCGTATGAATTGTTCAGTAAGGCCATAATAAGTCAGTTTATCTTCTCGGGTTTTTTCTCCATACAGGTAAACACTTATCTTGCATCCAGTGTTCCCTCTAAGCTGAGTTACTGTGAGCCAGCTCACAGTTTTTTAGCCTCCGGCTCACCCTTTTTTATCTTAGCTCAGGAAGGATGGCTCCAGAGCAGACTAATTTATGCAGCAGCCAAATCACCTGCTCACAACTTTAACGCCAGTAGCTCAAAAAGTAGAATTTTTGCTCACAGAACTCCAGAGCTTAGAGGGAGCATTGCATCACAAGCTGGATGAGTCCAATTGGCAAACAAAACAAAAAAAAATCAATTTTAGCCAGTAATTAAAGGCATTAATCCAAAGCTTTGCTTCCACTGTAACCGGCTCTGGTATATCGGCAGAGAAATGGTGGATTGGAGAGAGATGGTGGAGGGAGGATTCGACACAGTACTCTCTTGGGTATTGCGTGGCTCAGTTTTAATGCAAAGATGAAAAACAAGTTTCCTGAAAACCTGACTTTGATAAATTACTTTAAATGAGCAGAAGGGGCCATGCTACCCTCCTGCCCTTGTGAAAATGACTGGCCTCGTTAGCACAGCGCAACAAAATGTCATGTATAAATAGAATACTTTTAAACACCCAAATGGAGCTGCGGTGGCTCAAGTGGTTAAGACGCTGAACTGCAGGCTGTGGAAGGTCGGTAGTTCAGCAATTCGAGACCTGAGTTGCCGCATGACGGAGTGAGCTCCCGTCTCTAGTTCCAGCTCCTGCCAACCTAGCCGTTCGAAATCGCAAGTAGATAAATAGGTACCACTTCGGTGGGAAGGGAACAGCGTTCCGTGCGCCTTGGTGTTTAGTCATGCCGGTCACATGACCACGGAAACTTCTTCGGACAGCGCTGGCTCTTCAGCTTGGAAATGGAGATGAGCACCGCAATCCTAGAGTCGGACTCGACTGGCTTTCGAGCAAGGGAACCTTTACCTTTTACTTTAAACACCCAAATATAATGTGTATGTGCATGTGGGAGAGACGGACTGCTCTTGGACAGCTTTTTGCTTCCAAAGTAGACCCCACCACACACACACACACACACACACACACGAAATATGTCTGCAGAAATTATCCAACCCTCTGCAGATCTTTCCAAGCAACAGAGAGACAGTACCTTTGAGCATTTTCACAGCCACTGTTGTATAGCCAGCTTTCCCTTTCAGTCTGAACGCAGTTGCCTTGACGACCTTCCCGAATTCTCCTTCCCCAAGCGTCTTGCCCAGCACCAGATTCTTCCGAGGAAATTCCCACTTGGGGTCCTCCTGTGGACAAAATAGAGGAGCACAACTGGATGAGTTGTAATGCAATGTTCCCTCTAAGCTGTGGAGTCTTGTGAGCAAAAATTCTACTTTATGAGCTTCTGGCAGTAAAGTTGTGAGCCAGCGATTCGGCTACTGCATAGATTAGTTTGCTCTGGAGCCATCCTTCCTGAGCGAAGACAAAAATGTGTGAGCTGGAGGCTAAAAAACTGTGAGCTGGCTCACACTAACTCAGCTTAGAGGGAACACTGGAAGTCCATCAACATGTCACAGGTGCAGTGGCTGAAGTGTCATACTGAGATCTGGGAGACCTGGGTTTGAATGCCATGGAGGTTCACTGAAGGACTTTAGGCCAGTCAAACACTCTCCGTCTCACCTACCTCACAGGGTTGTTGTGTTGCGAGGAGGGGAGAATACTGTTGTAAGTCCCTTTGGGTGACCACTGGGAGAGAAAAGTAGGGTATAAACTTCTAAGTAAATAATGCACATTTCCCTCTCCTCTTGATTCAGTCCACTGTGAACATCAGTCTGCGTTGGGCCAAACGGGAAGTATGGAAAATGAATCCCCTGTTAAGAAAATGTTTCTTTGTCCCCACACAAAACAACTAGATTCAAGTCCAGAAGCATCTTAGAAATCAACAAGATTTTGGGGATATAAACTTTCATGAGTCAAAGCTCCCGTAGTCAGATACGAGTTGAAATGGAGACCTCCAAGTCCTTATATCTCAGCTAGAAGGTAGGAGGGAACTCAGAGAAGGAACTCAGGATACAGAGGTTCAATGTGCATAGTAATTATTTTGATTAGAGCAAAGGGGAAATGCATGGGGACAGAAAATGAGCATCTGTCATGAGAGCTGTAGTGACTCTCATGTCCCTATTCAGCCCCCGGGGTGGGCATTGTTCTGAACCTGTGAATAAATTCAAGTTCAGCAATTTCACGTTGTAATCTCCCCTTGAAGCTTCTGTTTGAGGACAGCCACTCTCAGGTCTGCAATGGAATGGCCTGGAAAATTAAAATGCCCCCCCCCCCCGGTTTTGAGTGTCCTGGGTGTTTTACACTGGATTACACAAAACAAGCCATTTTAGGGGTGGTAGACTTCTGTCTGAGTTGCCAAGAGCACGGTGTTATGTGTGAACACAAGAAGAAGAGACTGGGTCTGATCCAGTGGTCCATCTAGTCCAGCATCCTGTCTCACACAGTGGCCAGTCAGTTCCTCTGGAGATCCAACTACAGAGCATAGAGGCTGAGACCTTCCTTGGATGTTGCCTCCTGGTTAACTGCCTCTGAATTAGGAGGTTCCCCTCAGTCACCATGGCTAGTAGCTACTGATAAGATTTCTCCTCCATGAATCTATCTAATTCCTTAAGAACACAAGAGAAGCCTATGCTGGATGAGGCCAGTGGCCCATCTAGTCCAACACTCTGTCACACAGTGGCCAAAAATACCAGGTGCCATCAGGAGGTCCATCAGTGGGGCCAGGACACTAGAAGCCCTCCCACTGTTGCCCCACTGTTCAGTGTGGACTGAAGTCTATTACATTGTTGTATTCGTCCACCAAATGGCCATAACCTGCCTTGATGGGCAATTATATGTAGAAATGGGTGCTACTGAGACTGCAACTTCAAAACCAAATCTACAGCACTTGGGCTGGGCATCTGCAGCCCAGGAAACAAAATTTAGAATCCCATCAGTCTATTCAGAAGTGGTAGAGGAAGTATTTAATCAGCCCCACCCCCAATTCACTTTCATAAGCATACTCCAGCTTTTTGCTCAACATACATGCACAATCTCAAGCTCTTTGTAAACATTCTGTTGTATTACCAAAGCCTTCAGAAACTAGAGGAGGTTTAGACTCTGTGGTTTTTAAGAGGTTTGTATGCAACACTGTTCAAAAGGACGAACTAATACAACATTTATCCACATTGGTCCCATCTTCCCTGGCATAACTTTTGGGGTTGGGTAAAAGAGGCCCCTTCTTCCCTCTTTGGCCACTGGAAAAGCTGGTAGGATCCAGTCCAATGACTTTGTAAATTCTAATAAACTCAAGACACTTTTATGTTTAAATGTTGCGGGACCTTTTACAGTTCCGCAGAGCCTGCAAGACGGAGCTCTTCCGCCAGGCTTTTGAGTAGGGGCTGCCGCCGCCGCCACTACCACCACCGTATAACTGCGGAGCAGGACCGCCGGGGTGGGCTGATGAGAAATTGGAACATCATGGCTCATGGCGTCCCCCTTCTGACTTCTGACCTCCCCCTGATATGCAATGGAGAGTGCGCAATTTTAGTCCTTCATGCATCCTGTGAGTTGTTAATGTTTTGAGCTTCTGTTGTTTTAATTTATCTGTTTTATAGCACTTTGTGCCTTGTAAGCCACCCTGAGCCTGCGTGCGGGGAGGGTGGGATAGAAATGGAAATAAATAAATAAAGTAGTATTTCCTTTTGTCTGTCCTAAACCTACTGCCCATCTGGTTCATCAGTTGCCCTCGAGGTCTAGTATTTTCTGGTTCATCAGATGCCCTCGAGGTCTAGTATTTTGGGAGAGGGAGAAAAAGTTCTCCTTGTCAACTCTCTCCACCCCAGGCATAATTTTATAAACCTCTGTCATGTCTCTCTTCTGTATTTTCCCCCAGCTCTTTTTGAGATTGGGTGACAAGAACTGTACACAGCATTCCAAATGAGGCTGCACCATAGATCTATAAGGGGTAGAGATGTAAAATTTCCGGAAATTTTGAAGCTCGGAAAAAACCCCGTTTTCCCCCCAGTTTTTTTCGAGGGGGAAACAGAAATTTTCGGAAAAATTGAAAAAAAAATGCTACATTAGCATTTATTTTGTCTTTTCCAGATTGAAAGTCATTCTGTTACTTTAGGAACATAAAATATGACTATGGACATTTTTACTTGGCATGAAATTATCACAACTAGCATATTAAAAATATAGTGTATCCAAACAGTTATTACAAACAGAATACCCACCCACATGCAAAAACAAAACTGAAACCTTTTTATTTTCTTCTGACAATCGCACCTCCTAAAGGAAGAAATGCATCTTGTTCTTGCATTGGAGGGTTCAGTTTGTAACCTAGGACTTGCTTGTCCTCAGTGCACAGAAATTAGATCAATCTAATACCATATATATATATTTTAGAAATGATTTGGAAAATATTTGAACACCTTGTCTTAAAATATTTTATTCATCATGTTAAAATAAAACATTCTATAGTCATTTTATTTTATTTTTTCAATTTTTCGGAAAAAAACAAAAAAGGCTTTAGGAAAAAAACGGAAAAAAACCTGGGTTTTTTCCCGAATTTCTCCGGGCCTTCACATCTCTAATAAGGGGGCATTATAATATTGGCTGATTTATGTTACTTCCCTGCCCTAATAACCCCCCTAACACAGACTTTGCCTTTTTCACTGCTGCAGCACATTGGCTTGACACTTTCATTGAGCTATCCACGAAGACCCCAAGATCTTTTCCCCTCTCAGTTTCAGCAAGTTCAGACCCCATTAGCCCATACTTGAAGCTAAGGGTAAGCTAACTTCATCTGCCACACTGTTGCCCCCTCGCTCAATCGTGTACACAGAGATACCATCCCGTACCCAGGTCAAATTCAGCTGAGCCTGTCTATATAGTGCTTCTGGTGAGACTGTGATCTGCAAGATTTCTGAGCCAGATTCAGCTGATATCCCTCTGTAGGGACCTCTGTTTGAGGTGTCTGGAAACTGGAACATGACAAATAATTAGAATTTTCCATTAGGCAACTGCAGGCAGTGGGGGGGGGGGGGGGGGGGGAGGTGCAAACTGCAATACAATCCTGTCCGGAAACCTGGAATTCATAAACGCATGAGCTAAATGAATGCCATTGGAATACATAATTCGCTAGCTGGACAACTACCTTGCCAGCGCTGCAGACCTTGCCAAATGCTGGAATTCTGGGAAAACCCAAATGTTGGAACACGGAAAGGGGAGGGAGAATCCTCCAGTGCTTTGTAAACATGTTCTCTGTATGGAGCTTTGAATTTCGGTCATGTGGCTTAGTATAATACAGAAAAGCTTTTCTTATGGTACATGGTCACAGCCAATGTTCCCTCTAAGCTGTGGAGTCTTGTGAGCAAAAATTCTACTTTGTGAGCTACTGGCATTAAAGTTGTGAGTGAGCCATTTGGCTGCTGCATAAATTAGTTTGCGCCGGAGCCATCCTTCCTGAGCGAAGACAAAAAGGTGCGAGCTGGAGGCTAAAAACCTAACTCAGCTTAGAGGGAAGACTGGTCACAGCTCGCATATTTTCATGTTCAGGGTGAATGCCCTGGCTTGCAGGCTCCAAGTCTCAGGTGCCAGAAGTCAGGCAAGGCAGAGTCGTTCTGTCCAAGGCTGGGGGTTCCAGAAGTCAGGCAAGGCAGAGTCAGTAGCCCAGCATCTATCGTATGTGTTGCATCCATGCCTAACAGCCTCTCTTGGCTGCTTTTTATGGTCCCTGTGCTTAAGGGCCATGCTTGCAGCCAGCTACTGAGAAGCAACCCTGTAACTACTCATCTTTGGTCAGGGGCTGCTCCTCAAAATCTGGAGAAGCAAATTCTGGTTTTCGAGGGAGGGCATCTGCCAGCTTGTTCTGGGAATTCGGGATATAAATAATTGTGAAATTAAACCGGGAGAGGGGAAAAATCTGCCTCTGGTTCAATCAGCGGGCAGTTGGCAAGGGCTTGAGGTTACGGTGGTCCGTATGAACCTGCACCAGATGTCAGGCACCTTCCCGATACTGCCACCAGACCTCAAAAGTTGACTTTCCAGCCAATAGTTCCCACTCCTAGATGGTGTAGTTTTTCTTGGCAGTATTGAGTTGCCATGAATAGTAGGCACAAGGTTGTAGAGGTCTGGTGCAGTGTTCCCTCTAAGCTGAGTTAGTGTGAGCTAGCTCTCAGTTTTTTAGCCTCTGGCTCACGCATTTGTATCGCAGCCCAGGAAGGATGGGGCTCCAGAGCTAACTAATTTATGCAGTAGCCAA